TGAAGGTGTACGTGTGCTTGCGGAGGAGCTGAAGCTTCTCGGCCGGCACGGGCAGCTCGCTGAGGATGTGCTCCAAGTAGTCGTGCGGCGTTACGGCAGCCAAGTCCCATCTCAGCCGGCACAGCACCAGTCGCTCCATGTCCTGCCAGACGTGGAAGAAGACGCAAGAAGGCGTTACAGCTGGCTCTGCCGATGTTTCATCCGGTGCCCCCCACCCACCCACCCACCCCCGAAGCGCCGATTTTTTAAATCCTTTATATTAAGTTCGCTTGCTTGCGTGCTTGCTTAGGACCGTGCAAATCTTTCGGTCGTTTTTTTAACACACTTCCCGTGATCCAATCGAGCTGACATTTTGCACACAGACTCGTTGTGCGTGACAATTTTCGTGAATTTTTCCCCCAAAATTTTACACTGTTTAGGGAATTTTTTAAATCCTTTATATTAAGTTCGCTTGCTTGCGTGCTTGCTTAGGACCGTGCAAATGTTTCGGTCGTGTTTTAACCCACTTCCCGTGATCCAATCGAGCTGACATTTTGCACACAGACTCGTTGTGCGTGACAATGCATTTTCCTGAAAAAAAATTCCTAAATTTTACACTTTTTAGGGAGAAATTTTTTAATATTTAATTACCAATTGTTTAATGCTGCGAGACAATCATCTGACCCATAGGTGGCAGCCATCTCAAGCCAGAGGACGAGATGACTCTAGCCGCTCCGATGCCACGCATATAAAGGATTTATAGTGAAAAACTTTGTTTTTACGGGTTAATTTTTTGACAATTTATTCTTTTCGAGGAAGAGCGCGCAGGACTGTGCGAGGACGTCGGAAGATGGCGGTTTCATATAATTTCTTTCAAGTTCCAACGGCTAATATTGTAACAGAGCGGAATCATTATAAGCTCACTAAATGGAAGAATTAGACTATCGGAACCTCATTTGCCAGCAGCAAAATATGATCATTGGTTTTTTATTCCCTTTTATCTGGCAACAAAACTGACACCTTTTTTTACAAGGAGTCGTGTTTGCATTGACCGCAATACCTGCAGTCGTAATGCAAACAAAAACACAACTCTGATAATGTATGCACTGTCCTTGAAGTTGATTGGTCCACACCCGAGACAGCTTTCCTTAGAGCCTAGTCTCACATGGTGTTGGACCAGATGATGCCAAAAGGCGCACAACTCAAAGACAATGCACCATCAGAGTATGAGAGCTCGGGGTAAGCATTTACACCATTGGAACCTCATTTGCCAGTAGCAAATATGATAATTGTTTTTTACCCTTTTATCTGGCAACAAAACTGACACCTTTTTTTACAAGGAGTCATGTTTGCATTGACCACAATACCTGCGGTCGGAATGCAAAGAAAAACACAACTCTGATAATGTACGCACTGTCCTTGACGTTGATTGGTCCACACCCGAGACAGCTTTCCTTGGAGCCTAGTCTCACATGGTGTTGGACCAGATGACGCCAAAAGGCGCACAACTCAAAGACAACGCACCATCAGAGTATGAGAGCTCGGGGTAAAGCATTTACACCATTGGAATCTCATTGGCCAGTAGCAAATATGAGCATTGTTTTTTTACCCTTTTATCTGGCAACAAAACTTGTCAGATAAAAGGGTCAGTGCATATATTATCAGAGTTGTGTTTGTTTGTTTGCTTTCCGACCGCAGGTATTGTGGTCAATGCAAATATGACTCCTTGTAACAAAAAAGGTGTCAGTTTTGTTGCTGGAAAAATTAGGTCTTATGGCTGTAGAAAATTAGTAACAGAGCAGGGAAAAGGGGAATTGAAAAGCCGCTTTGTGTGGTCGGGTTTCAAATCTCGTCACCAGCAGCTCTTGGAGTCTGATGGAGTTGTCCGTGTAGGTGCACAGCTTTTCGGCGGTCAGGTGGATCGTTTCTCGGAGCTTGGAAGCCAGGAACATGCACGCGGCTCCGAGTAATTGAAGGTGGCTTTTTTTGGTCGGCATCACGGCCAAATACCGGTCCAAATAATTCATTGCCAAGGTGAAGACCTCCTCTTCGCACCGCTGGTCTTCACATACCTACGACAAAGTTGCGCGCCGAAAAGGGAAAAACAACACGCGACTCCGGTTAAAAAAGGAGATCTTTTGTTTTTGCAAATACAAAACGGCAATCAATAACGTTGTGTAGTCTTCTTGGTTCTTTCGGTAAAGTCACGCAGAAGGGAAATAATAAAATAATAAAAATAAAACATATTTTCTTTTAATGAAAAATTCTCACGACGTTTCGGCAAGCAGCCGTCCTCAGGTGAAGAACAGGTCTGTCGGGAAAGACAGCGTCTGAATGAAACACCACCAGGCTTGGCAGCGTATATTTAAGCTGGGTTGGAGGGGGAAGAGCGCCTTGACAAAGGAATTTGCATATCAAGAGGAATTTAGCATATTTATGGGAAATGCAGCTTTAAATCGAAATTTAACGTTGTGTAGCTTAACATGTGCAGCATAAATTCAAGATGTTGCAAACCCCAAGTGAGATAACCAAGCGTGTATATTACACGCACACCACATATGCAAAGTGTATACATATTTTCAAGCAAAACCTTGGATTGCGAGTAAACTTGGTCTGCGAGTGTTTTGCAAGACGAGCAACATTTTTAAAAATAAATATTAATTTGATAAACGAGCGAGTGGTCTTGCAATACGAGTAGTACATGTAGTGTACGCTTTGTCTGCAGAACGTCACGTGATCACAACTGATGAACGAGTGCTTTGGATTACAAGCGAACGAATTATGCTCAAAATCCAAGGTTTTACTGTATTTAATGTTGGCTTTTGTTGTTGTTGTCGTTGTCGCAAGATGCATTCAAGCGACAGTGTTAAGCGATGACACGAGAGAAAGATTGGTAAGCGCTGGTAACAGCAACAGGGGCTTGTCCCTGGCAGAAGAGAGACGGTCCCTGAATTCCTGAGACACGTTCGCTCCGAAATGAATTCAGGTCACAGTCGCAACAATCGGGCCAACCAAAGTGGGGGGGGTTGGTGGGTTGGTGGTGCGTGGGGTGGGACCCTGACCCCTGACCCCCACTCTTTGTGTGTGTGGGGTGGTGTGGTGAGACCCTGACCCCCCCCACCCAGCCCCACCCTCCATCCCCACCCTCCCCTCTCCTCCAACCCCCCACCCAGCCCCAGCCCCTCCCCACCCTCCCCACCCAGCTCCACCCTCCCCTCCCCACCCAGCCCCACCCTCCCCCCTAGCCCCTCCCCACCCAGCCCCACCCTCTCTTCTCCACCCAGCTCAACCCTCCCCATCCAGCCCCTCCCCACCCAGCCCAACCCCTCCCCTTTCCTCCAACCCCCCACCCAGCCCCAGCCCCTCCCCACCCGCCCCACCCCACCCTCCCCATCCAGCCCCTCCCCACCCTCCCCCACCCCTCCCCACCCAGCCCAACCCCTCACACCCCCTACCCAGCCCCACCCAGCCCCTCCCCTCCCTCCCCACCCAGCCCCTCCCTGCACGACGGACACAATAATCCCCTGTGGGCTGGTGTAACCAGGAGGTTCCTACCGGTACCAGGTTGTTTTTTTTATCCTTTTGAGTTCAACGGAGATGCAAACCACGCCGTGTTTGCTGCACTGTCTGTAGCTGTGTGTGTGCGTGTGTAGCCACTAATGTTGACAACGCACTAACCAGCGCACACACACAGTACATCACTAACACACACACAGTACATCACTAACACACACACAGTACATCACTAACACACACACAGTACATCACTAACACACACAGTACATCACTAACACACACACACTACATCACTACCACACACACTACATCACTAACACACACACAGTACATCACTACACCACACAGTACATCACTAACACACACACAGTACATCACTAACACACCACAGTACATCACTAACACACACACAGTACATCACTACACACACACAGTACATCACTAACACACACAGTACATCACTACACACACACAGTACATCACTAACACACACACATACATCACTAACACACACACAGTACATCACTAACACACCACAATACATCACTAACACACACAGTACATCACTAACACACACAGTACATCACTAACACACACACAGTACATCACTAACACACACACAGTACATCACTAACACACACACAGTACATCACTAACACACACACAGTACATCACTAACACACACAGTACATCACTAACACACACACAGTACATCACTAACACACACACAGTACATCACTAACACACACAGTACATCACTAACACACCACAGTACATCACTAACACACACACAGTACATCACTAACACACACACAGTACATCACTAACACACACAGTACATCACTAACACACACACAGTACATCACTAACACACACACAGTACATCACTAACACACACACAGTACATCACTAACACACACACAGTACATCACTAACACACACAGTACATCACTAACACACACAGTACATCACTAACACACACAGTACATCACTAACACACACCAGTACATCACTAACACACACACAAACATCACTAACACACACATACATCACTAACACACACACAGTACATCACTAACACACACACAGTACATCACTAACACACACACAGTACATCACTAACACACACACAGTACATCACTAACACACACAGTACATCACTAACACACACACAGTACATCACTAACACACACACAGTACATCACTAACACACCACAGTACATCACTAACACACACACAGTACATCACTAACACACACACAGTACATCACTAACACACACACAGTACATCACTAACACACACACAGTACATCACTAACACACACACAGTACATCACTAACACACACACAGTACATCACTACACACACATACATCACTAACACACACACAGTACATCACTAACACACACACAGTACATCACTAACACACACACAGTACATCACTAACACACACACAGTACATCACTAACACACAACAGTACATCACTAACACACACACATACATCACTAACACACACACAGTACATCACTAACACACACACAGTACATCACTAACACCACACAGTACATCACTAACCACACAATACATCACTAACACACACAGTACATCACTACACACACACAGTACATCACTAACACACACACAGTACATCACTACACACACACAGTACATCACTAACACACACAGTACATCACTAACACACACACAATACCACTAACACACACACAGTACATCACTAACACACACACAGTACATCACTAACACACACACAGTACATCACTAACACACACACAGTACATCACTAACACACACACAGTACATCACTAACACACACACAGTACATCACTAACACACACAGTACATCACTAACACACACACAATACATCACTAACACACACACAGTACATCACTAACACACACAGTACATCACTAACACACACACAATACATCACTAACACACACACAGTACATCACTAACACACACACAGTACATCACTAACACACACACAGTACATCACTAACCACACATACATCACTAACACACACAGTACATCACTAACACACACAGTACATCACTAACACACACAGTACATCATAACACACACACAGTACATCACTAACACACACACAGTACATCACTAACACACACACAGTACATCACTAACACACACACAGTACATCACTAACACACACACAGTACATCACTAACACACACACAGTACATCACTAACACACACACAGTACATCACTAACACACACACAGTACATCACTAACACACACAGTACATCACTAACACACACACAATACATCACTAACACACACACAGTACATCACTAACACACACACAGTACATCACTAACACACACACAGTACATCACTAACACACACACAATACATCACTAACACACACACAGTACATCACTAACACACACACAGTACATCACTAACACACACAATACATCACTAACACACACACACAGTACATCACTAACACACACACAGTACATCACTAACACACACACAGTACATCACTAACACACACAGTACATCACTAACACACACACAGTACATCACTAACACACACACAGTACATCACTAACACACACACAGTACATCACTAACACACACACAGTACATCACTAACACACACACAGTACATCACTAACACACACACAGTACATCACTAACACCACACAGTACATCACTAACACACACCAGTACATCACTAACACACACACAATACATCACTAACACACACAGTACATCACTAACACACACACAGTACATCACTACACACACAGTACATCACTAACACACACAATACATCACTAACACACACACAGTACATCACTAACACACACACAGTACATCACTAACACACACACAGTACATCACTAACACACACACAGTACATCACTAACACAGACACAATACATCACTAACACACACACAATACATCACTAACACACACACAATACATCACTAACACACACACAGTACATCACTAACACACACACAGTACATCACTAACACACACACAATACATCACTAACACACACACAGTACATCACTAACACACACACAATACATCACTAACACACACACAGTACATCACTAACACACACACAATACATCACTAACACACACACAGTACATCACTAACACACCACAATACATCACTAACACACACACAGTACATCACTAACACACACACAGTACATCACTAACACACACAGTACATCACTAACACACACACAGTACATCACTAACACACACAGTACATCACTAACACACACACATACATCACTAACACACACAGTACATCACTAACACACACACAGTACATCACTAACACACACACGAGTACATCACTAACAACACACAGGTAACTCACTACACCCACCACGGTACATCACTAACACACACACAGTACATCACTAACACACACTCACTACATCACTACCACACACACCTACATCACTACCACACACACAGCATCACTAACACACCCACCAGTACATCACTAACACACACACAGTACATCACTAACACACACACAGTACAGCACTAACCACACACACAAACATCACTAACACACACACAGTACATCACTAACACACACACAGTACATCACTAACACACACACAATACATCACTAACACACACACAGTACATCACTAACACACACACAGTACATCACTAACACACACACAAACACGTGTTCACGTTCACAATTAACGACGCGCATATTTTATTTCACGTTACCTGCATTCTACAGTATACAGACATTAACTAATGTACACTCGCGGCAAATATGTACACGTGCACACACAGACAAAGATCCCCGTGTAGCCTTAACAGACTGTAGGGGCAAGTGCTGTTAGCGGAGTAGCACCTATGAAGGCCGGAACGGTACACGAGGGGGGGGTGGCCAGCACCACGCCCGACCGCCTTTGTCTCCCCAGTGGCGATATTTACTACACACCGCACCAAGTACTCATTTGAGGCTGAGTCGACCTAGGGGAGGCCCAGGACCGGTTCAGATATCGTCACTGGTGTTGGCCGTGAGCGCTATGAACCCACTCACCCCCCCCCACTCACTCAACCCCCCCACTCACCCACTCACCAACTCACCCACCCACTCACTCACCCCCTCACCCACCCACTCACTCTCCCCCCACTCACCCACCACTCACCCCCCCACTCACCCCCCCTCTCACCCCCCCACCCACTCCCCCCCACTCACCCACTCACTCACCCCCCCTCTCACCCACCCACTCACTCCCCCAGACTCACCCCCCCCCCCTCTCACCCACCCACTCACTCCCCCTCACTCACCCACTCACCCACCCTCTCACCCACCCACTCACTCACCCCTCACTCACCCACTCACCCACCCATTCACCCACCCACTCACCCACCCATTCACCCACTCACTCACCCCCCCACTCACCCTCCCACTCACCCCCCCACTCACCCCCCCTCTCACCCACCCACTCCACCCACCCATTCACCACTCACTCACCCCCCACTCACCCTCCCACTCACCCCCCCCACTCACCCCCCCCTCTCAACCACCCACTCACCCACCCATTCACCCACTCACTCACCCCCCCACTCACCCACCCACTCACCGTCCCACCCCACTCACTCACCCTAGTGATGGTGGTGGTGATAGTGATGATGATGATGGTGGTGATAGTGATGGTGGTGGTGATAGTGATGATGGTGGTGGTGATGATCTTGGTGATAGTGATGATGATGTTGGTGATAGTGATGATGATGGTGGTGGTGCTAGTGATGATGTTGGTGATAGTGATGATGATGTTGGTGATAGTGATGATGATGGTGGTGGTGATAGTGATGCTGATGATAGTGATGATTATGATAGTGATGATGATGGTGGTGGTGATAGTGATGATTATGGTAGTGATGATTATGATAGTGATGATGATGGTGATAGTGATGATTATGATAGTGATGATGTTGGTGGTGGTGATAGTGATGATTATGATAGTGATGATGATGATAGTGATGATGATAGTGATGTTGATGATGGCGATGATGTTGGTGGCGATGATGGTTGACGTTGATGACACCACGCTACCTCCAGCATCCACGTGGCGAGCGTCCTTCTCATGAAGGGCTGGATGTCGGTCTGCACGCCGCACTCGAAGTACGACGCCCTGGGCACGTAGCGCTCCTCCAAGCTCAGCAAGTTGGACAAAACCCTCTTGTCTTGCAGGAGGTGGGCATCTACTAAAGCCCTCTTGATGCCAGCTGCCTCGCCACACATCAACTCCATTCCTTCTGGGGTCGTGGGGGGCCCTTTTCGTTACAAGGTGGTGGTGGTGGGGGGCGGGTTGGTTGATGGTGGACTGTCCCTTCTTCTGCAGCTCCAAGAATGATTTTTTTTTTACACGAAAGATTAAATATTGTAGGAATCTGAGAAATCGTCGTGGATTTCAATGGTCGGTTTGAAATGTAACAGCAGCTGCAGCAGCTGCAGTATTGATGCTCTTACTGGTGTACAACACGTGTTCGTCTGTTCACAGAAAAACTGCCGCTCTTGATTTTGCCTTACAGTCATATATTAGTGCTAAGTTCACTTTAACGTCTTCTCAGTTACTTACGTTTCGTTTTGCTGTTCCCGTTATAAAAAAAACTTGCAATGATTACCAGCTTCTACACCACACGCGTGTTACTTTATTATGACAATAATCTCATCTGCCAACGCACGCAACATTCAAGGCTTGCTGCTGTACACTGTTTGTCACGCTGCACACAAGTTCTTTGCTCTGACCGGCAAAACATCTGCGGCTAAAGTAAATAAATATATAAAACCTTCATCATTAATATGAATACAGTTGACCTAGCAACAAGGGAGTGACGGCGATTGGCTGTGTTGTTGTTGTTCTTGCTTTGCGCCAAAGTAGTTCAAGTTCATGTACAAGCCCTGTGAGCCATTCGGCTCTTGAATCGGGTGCAACCGCAACAAACAAAAAAACATCTTAAAGTGAATGTGCGACTAAGTTTAAACAGAAAATCCAAGAAAAGACAGCAAAATATTGCAGAGAAAGCACCGTTACACACCAACACTGTGCAAACATCCCAGTGGGATGCAAGTCAAACAACAACAACAACAACCACAAGACAACTTAGATTAAGGCCATCAGTCTAACTCTGTACTACAACAACAACACAAACATGGATAAACCAATACACTTTTCGAAATCACCAAAATAAAGCCATGAAAGCAATGAAACAGTGCAGGTCATAGGAACTGTGACGGAGTTTTCACAATAAACTTCATAAACAACACGTACCAGCAGAACCTGCAGCCACAGCTGCTGCTGCACGAGTCTCTCCACTACAGCAGCAGCAGCAGGAGCAGCAGTCGCAGAATTATAATTTCTCAATGCACCTTTAAGATCAGCGCACTAAATCAAAACACAGGTCATACTTTGATTTAAAGCTTTCGTGACTGCAGCGATTCATCTTCTTGGTTCTTTCGGTAAAGTCACGTAGAAGGGAAGTAATAAAATAATAAAATAAAATAATTCTCACGACGTTTCGGCCACAACGCAAGCAGCCGTCCTCAGATGAAGACCAGGTCTGTCGGGGAGACAGCGTCTGAATGCTTCCCTTCTACTTGACTTTAGCGAAAGAACCAAGAAGACAGGTCATACTTTGAGGCCACTGAATATCAGTGACAGCTCGGGGTGTACAACTCCTCTAGAGCAGCTTTGAGTGATGAAGCAGTCGTTGTTACGCGCTTACATGGCTCACAAGACGACTTGTTGTGGTTTATATTTTGTCTAAACGTTGCTTCTTGTTGTCATCTTGACGCGGGGTTCTAAGAGACGCGAAGGATGTTGGTGTTTTGCGATAGAAATAAATGAACTGCGTGGCGCCCAGCGTGGGGCTCGAACCCGCGACCCCGAGACGCCGCCGCTGAGCTCGCCGCGCGCTGGGGACTCAGCTCGCCAAGTCGCCTCCTCGTGTAGCCACCACTCGCGTTCACTCGCTACACACCGTGTCGAGAATGACATGGAATTGGCTATTATCATTGTTCTTGAAGAGTGTAGTGAACAATATGGAGACACTTGGGGTTTTTAAATCCTTTATATTAAGTTTGCTTGCTTGCGTGCTTGCTTATGTAATAAAAGGACTCAGACGCTTCTCTCTGACTTCGTGTCCTTTATTGGGTTCTTGTCTTCTCCCACACGGCACTCTCTTATAGACACTGTATTTGTAGCCCCCGGCTGCTATCGCTATGTAGCCTCCTTCCTCTCCCTGCAGACTCTCTCCTTTCTCTATTGTAACCTCCGTCCTCTCCCTGCAGACTCGCTGCTGACTCCCTATGCAGATCCCCGCTGCTTACTCTATATGCAGACCCTCTTGGCTGCTACTCCGTGTGCAGACCCGCTGCTGACTCCGTAGGCAGCCCCGCTGCTGACTGCAGCCTCCTCGCTGCTTCGGGTCGGTCACCGCTGGCCGACGGTGCCGATCCTCGCTCCCTCGTGTCCGTGGCGATCTCGCCACACTCCGCTTTCGCCCTTCGTGGCCTCTCTCGTTCCTGGTCCCCCGTCACTCCCCCTCCTCTTCCGGTTCCCCTCCCTCTATAGCTTAACCCCTCTCCCCCCCACGTGACCTAACTCCTCCCCTCATGACGTCACCTCCGGAGGGCCGTTTACGCCCGCATTACATCACCCTCCCCCATCGAGAAAATCCAGCCGACCTCGGCTGAAATGCAACTTGACAAGCAATGCGGGTGTAAAGGACCGACACGTAAAAAGACACGAAGCATGCAACAACAATATAACAAGAACACAACACAACACAATTTAACGAAACGTGAGGGATTTCGAGCGAGTACGGGTAGCCGGGCCGTCCCGGACGGTCGGCAGCCCACCCGCCGAGCGGGAACGTGGCAGGGTTTTAAGGGCGACAGGAGCAAGTTCATCCGCCGCCATTGAAGGGCCGCCACCGTCCCGGTTGCGTCCGCGGAGGGACAGGAAGAGCTGCAGGTCCCGTAGTTTCTGTGGCTCCGGTCGGCATCCCACGAGCGGAACGTCCTCCCTCCTGCGGCGTCACGGCCGGCTTGTCTGTAAGGGGTACGACAGGCGCTCTTGCAAGGTCAGCATGCACAGGCAAGGGCGAGTCGGCAGCAACAGACCCCGGCAAGGCAACCTCGGGAGATGACGCTTCCGGTCGCGGGGCAATGTACGGTTCAACCGGGATGTATGCACGAACCAGCGCCGCGAACCAACCCGAACCCGCGCCGACTGAGGGTTGGGAACCTCAATGAGGCGGACCGGACCTTGCCATGGTTTATGTAATTTAGGAGAGGTACCTGGCCGCACCTGTGGGCAATGAAGCCAGGCAAGGTCCCCCGTTTTCCAGGGGCACTCCCCCTTTGAACGTCGAGCACACCGCTCATTCCTGGCCTGAGCTTTGGCCGTAGCCATGCGGGCCCTTTCCCTCGCCGCAGTGACACGGCGAACGTTGTCCTGAATATACTCAGGAAGAGGCTTAACAGGTCCCCTCGCACCGGTTCCCAACTGCTCAGTAATCGGCGGAACATTTTCCCGGCCGTACATAAGAAAGAACGGCGAGTATCCAGTAGCCGCATGCGGCATCATGCGATACGCCGAAAGCACCCCAGGGATATGCAAATCCCAATCAGCTTGATTTTCCCCGATTGTATGGCACAGCATGGCGGACAGGGTCCGATTTAACCGTTCCACCATACCATCCGTTTGTGGGTGGTAGGGGGATGTCCGTATCTTTTTAGTTCCAAGAGCCGCACACACCTCCCCCAACAATTTAGACGAAAAATTTCGGCCTTGATCTGTAAGGAGCCTCTCCGGCGCCCCCTTGTCCATTACATACCCAAATAGAAAGGCGTCAGTGATAGACGCCGCTGACTGGTCAGGCAAAGGCCAGGCCATCGGCCAGCGGGAGAGGTACTCCACCCCCACCAGTAAATACTTATTTCCCCTAGCGGATGGCGGAAAGGGTCCCAAAATATCTAACGCCACCAGCTCATTAACTCGAGATACTTGAATCGATTGTATCGGCGGAACATATGGATGTTTAGGCGGCTTACGGCGGGCACAATCGGGACACGCGCAAACGTGACCGACGACATCTGTCGTCATGCCGTGCCAATAATAGTCTCACTGCAGCGTCAATAGGGTTTTCTGCACCCCCAGATGTAAAAGTGTATCACAATGCAGAGATCTAATCAATTCGTACCGCAATGACGCCGGTACAACGAGACGCCAGCGTTCCTGTATCCCTTCCCTCAACATCAGCAACCCATCTTGGAGAGCAGTTTCCGGTACACCACCCGCACCGAGTCCCTTACTTGCCTTCTCCGTTTGCTTTCGTAACGTCACCAAGGAATTATCCAACATCTGCTCCCGAATCCACACAGACCTCGGGAGACACAAAATCCCATCAGCCGGTCCCCCATCAACTGGTCCCGGTGTAAGCGGAGTTTCAAGAACATCCACCGCCAGCGTGACAGGCTGAGGGGGGAGCTGAATCGGTCCACACCTATGCGTCCCCGACGCACACGCGCAAGGGGATTTTTGCGGCAACCTGGAAAGTGCGTCCGCATTAGCGTGACGCACACCCTTCCGATGATGAATTTGGAAGGAAAATTCTTGCAGCGTGTCCAGCCACCTCGCCAATTGTCCGGATGGCTGGTCCATCTTAAGTGCATACTGCAAGGCCGCATGGTCCGTGCGGACAATAAACGACCGACCGTACAGATACGGTCGAAATTGGCGGAGAAAAAAAACAATGGCCAAAAGTTCCCTGCGAGTGACGCAGTAGCGGGTCTCCGCGGGCGACAAAACCCGACTCCCATACGCCACAACGCGCTCAACTCCACCTTTCGACTGGGACAACACCGCCCCAATACCAGTGTCACTTGCATCCGTATCCAGAATGAAAGGATGTTCAAAATCCGGATAATCCAACGTCGGTGCAGTAGCCAGTAAATCGCGCAGGCTCCGAAACGCCGCCTCCTCCGGCGGTCCCCAAGCAAATTTGTGTCCCTTCCCAGTAAGGAGATGCAAAGGCCTCGCGATAGTAGCAAAATTCGGAACAAACCTCCGATAATACGAGGCGAACCCCAAAAACCGACGCACATCACCCACCGTGGCCGGGGTTGCCCAATCACGGACACACGCAGTTTTCTCCGGATCCGTGGCCACCCCGTCCGCACTAACAATATGTCCCAAGTATCGAACGGAGTGTTGCAGTAGGTGACATTTCTTTGGCTTGAATTTCAATTTAGCAGAACGCATTCTGGTGAATACAGCCTCCAACCGCAGTAAATGCTCATCAAATGTGCGGCTGAAGACAATAATATCATCTAAATAAATCAGACATGTCTCCCACTGCAACCCCGTTAATACCAACTCCATCAACCTCTGAAAAGTGGCAGGGGCCGCATTCAACCCCATCGGAAGACAGTTAAATTGGAATAACCCCTGCGGCGTACGGAAAGCAGTCTTTTCTCGCGAGGGCTCGTCAAGGGGGAGCTGCCAGAAGCCCGAAGAGAGATCTAGCGTTGAAAAAAACTTAGCCCCTGACAAGGCGTCAAGAGAATCGTCCATACGCGGCAGGGGATGCGTATCTGCCACCGACACTTTATTCACCTTACGAAAATCCACACAAAATCGCAATTTACCATCCTTCTTTTTAACCAACACAACAGGCGCGCCCCACGGGCTATTAGACGGAGATATAATATCCGCTTTCAACATGTCATCCACTGCCCCTCGAACATGCTCACGCTCAGCCGGACTCATCCGACGCGAGTTCAAGCGGATAGGTGCAGCGTCCCCTGTGTCGATATGATGATAAAGCAGCGAGGTGCGTCCCAAGTCCAAATCGTCGGAGCTAAACACATCCGAATAACTCGATAATAATTTATGAATCGCACAACGCTGTTCGCCGGAAAGGGCCGAATTTTCCCCACACAATTCAGCGATCCAACGATCATCCACTCCTCCATCGTGTGAAACACCACCCACCAGCCCTCCGTCCGGCAGATCACTCTGAGCCGTAAACGCCGTGGTGGCATGTGCCACAACGGTACCAGCCGGCACACACACGCTTTCAGTACTCGCATTAAGCACCTGCAAAAACGGCCGCTGATCTGGACGGACAATAGTTTGCGCCCCCACTAGCGCCAATCCGCCCGTAACAGCGGCGGACGGCGACAGCAAAATCCCAAAAGCATCCTGCCGACCCGGAATCGGCTTCCGATATCGTAAGGGAATGAGCATCTGCGAGCCAGGTGGAATATCAACCGAAACTTCCGATAACGCCTGCACCTGGGCGACAGGAGCCGGTCGCCCCCAGGCGGACTGTAAAAATGCCAATTTCCGGCCCCCCAGTAGTTCAATGCAATTTTCATTGATTCGAATTAGAATGGGCATCTTAACCGCCAGGGACCTCGAAATTAACACAACGCCCGAGGCCGAGACTCCCCCGATAGAAATGTTAGCGTCCACCTGGCCCACGATGCCCATACTACCCCCGTTTGCAGCGATGCAGGAAGCGTAAGCCGGCCTAACGGCCCCCGGTGGGATGTTCAAAAGATGGAATATCACATCCGAAATAATGGTCGCGGACGCACCGGAATCCACCAAAATGCGTACGTCCACCTCTTGGATCGACCCAGGTACAGTGGACGAACCGGTAGCGGCCGCGACAACCCGCCGAGCCAGCTTACGCCACTGCGTTATCGAGCGACAAGGCGCAGACACTGGCCTCCCGTATGTAACAACATCCGCGTCGCACAACAACGGCGATGAGTGAGGTGTCGGGCCTTGCCGGGTGTCTGGTGCGCACCGACTTGCCTGTGCTGGAGGATCTTTCTTTGGAGCGTCCGCTGTCGAGGCCTCCTGCTGGGGCGGACCCGGAACACGGGCCCAGCAGTCCCTGGCATAATGGCCCCGACGCCCGCAGCGGAAGCACTCGACGTCGGTGCGGCGCGCAGCGGGCACCCCGTCCCGACGCGGCCGCACCGGCGGCGCGGCCCGCGGCCCCGCCCGCTTTGGGCCGGCCACGGAGCAGAGGCAGCCGACAACTCCTTCTGGCCGCTCCCATCCAGCACGTACACGGCCTTTGTAGGGTCCCACCCTACGGCACCCCCTTCGACGATAGGACCACCCATCCACGCCGTGACCTGTTTCCAGCGGCGGAGATTAAACTGGGCGTCCAGACACTTAGCTGCGGCCCGGGACGTGAGCTTTTCATGACCGCACGCCGGCATAGGAATGCCAAGATCTCGGGACAACTCCAACATCTTCCCCAGGATGAGAGGTTCCAGCAGGTCAGGCTCCGTCTCCGGGTAAGCGGCCATAGCAAGTTCCAACACGGCGCCCCTATACGCCACCGGTGACTCCTCAGGTGCGCGTTGCCGTTGCACGAATCGGCGATGGGCGTCATCCGGTGGCTCGTACGCGTCCGCCATTTCATCGAACACCCCTCGCAGAGTCTTCTTCTTCGCAGCTTTTATGGAGCGAAAAAAACGAACGGATTCATCATCAAGAAGAGTCGGAAGCACCTCCAGTGCCTCAGCGTCCGTCCATCTCGCTGTACGTACCGCCGCCGAAATCTACAGGCGAACGCACTCCATCGCCACCGATGGAGAATTCTTTGACGGTTGTTAGGTGACGACTGCGACTCCTTGGCTTGCTTCCTTCCGCCGCTGACTCCTCCGGTGGTAAATTCAACAAGGCGTCGCAACGCGGTGTCGACAAGATGGCGGCCGACCGTCGCGGCGGTCCCAAAATGGCGGCTTCCCGCTTTCCGTGGTGCGCCACGCCCAAGATGGCGTCTTCGCGCCGCGTGGCCGATGGCGGCGCCATCGAAGACGACCCGGGCTCCTGCCGATCACCACCATCACCTTCCAACGCCGCCCTTGGCGTGACAAGGTCACACAACTGTGTGATGACGTTTTTGAGAGTTACCAGTTGCTCCGCCATCTGGGTCCATCTTAAATCTGCGTCCTTTGGAGCAGATGGGTCCGACGACGCGGCAACCTCCTCGACACCCGGACCCTCACGGATCTCTTCCTCTGCCGAAGTCAAGCCGACTGCAGGAGGAAGATCGTCGTCGTCGGAAGATGAAGCCGACGCCGGAGATGGAATATTCTTTTTCCTCAATTGTTTCGCCATGCCGTTTCACTTCTGACTCCAGTGTAATAAAAGGACTCAGACGCTTCTCTCTGACTTTGTGTCCTTTATTGGGTTCTTGTCTTCTCCCACACGGCACTCTCTTATAGACACTGTATTTGTAGCCCCCGGCTGCTATCGCTATTGTAGCCTCCTTCCTCTCCCCGCAGACTCTCTCCTTTCTCTATTGTAACCTCCGTCCTCTCCCTGCAGACTCGCTGCTGACTCCCTATGCAGATCCCCGCTGCTTACTCTATATGCAGACCCTCTTGGCTGCTACTCCGTGTGCAGACCCGCTGCTGACTCCGTAGGCAGCCCCGCTGCTGACTGCAGCCTCCTCGCTGCTTCGGGTCGGTCACCGCTGGCCGACGGTGCCGATCCTCGCTCCCTCGTGTCCGTGGCGATCTCGCCACACTCCGCTTTCGCCCTTCGTGGCCTCTCTCGTTCCTGGTCCCCCGTCACTCCCCCTCCTCTTCCGGTTCCCCTCCCTCTATAGCTTAACCCCTCTCCCCCCCACGTGACCTAACTCCTCCCCTCATGACGTCACCTCCGGAGGGCCGTTTACGCCCGCATTACACTTAGAACCGTGCAAATCTTTCGGTCGTTTTTTAACCCACTTCCCGTGATCCAATCGAGCTGACATTTTCCACACAGACTCGTTGTGCCAGACAATTATTATTCGTGAAAAGAAATTCCCAAAATTTAACACTTTTTAGGCAAAAATGTTTTTTTTTACATATATTCAAATAGAACGCATTCATGGCTTTGGCTGAACGTCAGAGTGTTAGAGCCCAGAGCGTAACCCCTCCACAGGCCGTGGCGGAGTAGCGCAGTTGGTAGCGCCCTCGCTTCCCATGCCAAAGGTCGCGGGATCGATCCCTGCGTCCTCCACAGGCGTATATATTTTTAAATCCTTTATATTAAGTTCGCTTGCTTGCTTGCTTGCTTGCGTGCTTGCGTGCTTGCTTGCTTGCTTAGGACCGTGCAAATCTTTCAGTCGTTTTTTAACCCACTTCCCGTGATCCAATCGAGCTGACATTTTCCACACATACTCGTTGTGCCAGACAATTAATGTTCGTGAAAAAAAATTCCCAAAATGTTACACTTTTTAGGCAAAAAAAAAATATTGTATATATATTAAAATAGAACTCATTCATCGCTTTGACTGAATGTCACAGTATAAGGGCCCAGAGCGTAACTCCTCCACAGGCCGTGGCGGAGTAGCGCAGTTGGTAGCGCCCTCGCTTCCCATGCCAAAGGTCGCGGGATCGATCTCCGCGTCCTCCACAGGCGAATATATTTTTAAATCCTTTATATTAAGTTCGCTGCCACGCATATAAAGGATTTATAGTGAAAAACTTTGTTTTTACGGGTTATACTTATTTGCGCACAACTCAAAGACAATGCACCATCAGAGTATGAGAGCTCGGGGTAAGCATTTACACCATTGGAACCTCATTTGCAATGCAGATTCTGACGTATTGGTAATCAATCCAGATTCTGACGTATTGGTAATCAATGCAGATTATGACGTATTGGTAATCAATGCAGATTATGACGTATTGGTAATCAATGCAGATTATGACCTATTAATCATCAATACAGATTATAACATATTGACATTCAATGCAGATTGTGACGTATTTGATCAATGCAGATTCTGCCGTATTAATCATCAATACAGATTATAACGTATTGATCGTCAATGCAGATTATGACGTATGAATAATAAATAATGATTTTGATGTATTGATAATCAATAAATATTCTGACGTATTGATCATCAATGAATATTCGATTTGATCGTCAATAAAGATTCTGACGTCATTAGTGATTAATTTAGCTCAAATGCCATTGGTCCGCGGCGTGCGGGAAGTGGGAGGGGTGACATGACGCCACGGGTGATATGGACGTGACGTGACGTCACTGGCGGTCGGTGGGATTACGTGACGTCACGAGCGGTGGGGAGGTATTGACATGACATCACGGGGTGGTAGAGGTGACGTGACGTCACTAGTGGCAGAGGTGACGTCACCGCTCGGATAGTTTGAATCGAGACGCGGCCGCGCGTTTTCCCCCGCGGTTTTGAGCATCCCCTCAGAGTTCCCACAGAACCGCGATTATTAAGTTCATTAAACGTAACACCTTCTTATTATATACGTGTGTAAGGACATATATAAGGACGATTAAAGCAATTAAGTGGCCGTGAAAAGTCGCTCGCTCCGTTGCGTATTTTTAATTTTAAAAAATCGGCAATTTTTAGTGCGGCGATTCCGGGCCGAGTTTAAATCCGGTTAAGTTGTTCCACATTAACATCTCCTTTCGTAACAACAACAACGACGACAACTTTATTGGCGTGTGTGGTGGTGGTGGTGTAACGACCTGGGGCCACGCGTGCCGGACAGGCGAATGCGTTGCGGCCTACGGGACAAGACCCATCATCACCACCGGCGGGTAAAGCTGCGTGTGTCTCTCTTCTATTCTCTCTACACTCGATGTTAGTGAACGACACCCACAGCATCTCGCTTGATCCTAGCGGCAGGGATATCGTCAGCGTAGCTAATTGTGCTGCAGTGCGGTTTGGGTGTGTAAGCGGGACTTGCCCTATCAGCACACAGACACACACACACGGCTCGCATCAGTGGCGAGTGATGTCAACCAACCCCTTGCGTAGACCAGCGCGGTGAAGTATGGTCATTACGCATTGACCAGTGTGGTGAAGTATGGTCAATCTACATACCAACACCAGCACAGACCAGCGTGGTGAAGTATGGTCAGAATCCACATCCCAACCCCTGCATAGACCAGCGTGGTGAAGTATGGTCATTACGCATTGACCAGCGTGGTGAAGTATGGTCATTACTCATTGACCAGCGTGGTGAAGTATGGTCATTACGCATAGACCAGCGTGGTGAAGTATGGTCATTACGCATAGACTAGCGTGGTGAAGTATGGTCATTACGCATAGACCAGCGTGGTGAAGTATGGTCATTACGCATAGACCAGCGTGGTGAAGTATGATCATTACGCATAGACCAGCGTGGTGAAGTATGATCATTACGCATAGACCAGCGTGGTGAAGTATGGTCATTACGCATAAACCAGCGTGGTGAAGTATGGTCATTACGCATTGACCAGCGTGGTGAAGTATGGTCATTACTCATTGACCAGCGTGGTGAAGTATGGTCATTACGCATAGACCAGCGTGGTGAAGTATGGTCATTACGCATAGACCAGCGTGGTGAAGTATGGTCATTACGCATTGACCAGCGTGGTGAAGTATGGTCATTACGCATTGACCAGCGTGGTGAAGTATGGTCAGAACCCCACCCCCCACCACCCCCCACGATGAACCTATATAGATTGCGAAGGCATTGATCTAGTGGTAAAGAAAAGCCTATATAACACGTAACCGTAAACCTTAACTCTAACCTCTAACTCTAAACCCTAACCATAATTCCAAACCCAGAATTTAGCCCTAAACCCTACATCCTAACCCCCAAGTCCAAAACCCTAAGCCCTAACTCCAAACCATATCCAGAAACTCCAAGCCTAACCCATAACCCTCACTCATACCCCTAAACCTAATCAAACAAATCCATAAACATAACCCTGTAAATGTTGTGGCTTTGTTTTCCAACACACCGGTATGATGTACTAGTAACAAATTGGCATGTTCTGTTTACGTGACAAACCTGGCTATTTGGCTTTGTCGCGTGGACGTGGGTTTAAAGACATTTATATTTCTAACCTTCAAAAAAACCTGTTATGGATGATATTGGTCGCAAAAGCCTATGTGTTTATATGGTAATCAACGCTTGGCTTTACGTCATCGCGACATTCGCCGTCGTGTCTTTCAGCAACTCATCCCCGATGTAAACCGGCTGTGGTGTGACTCCACCCGCGTAATAACCCCTGTTATATATTTCAACTTCCCAACAGTTTATGCCCTTCCCCAAGAAGACACCTTTAGTCTCAGTCGTCCTTCAGGAACGTACCAGTGGCATCGTGTGGCCAAATTCTCTTTTTTTTTTTCTCAGCCTCAGCTCTGGTCAGGCAAACGCTGCGGGGGATGACGTCGCAAGCTTCTCGGCGCGCAAGGCACTTCGGCGAGACGGCAGACGCTGCACCGGCGCCTTGAACCCTTCAGTGCCGAGCCGCCCCTTCGGTTACTGCCGCCGTCGCGTTCGACGATGGCCGACTCCGCCGAACCCCCCGCGTCATTGCCGCCGCTGGAACCCACCCCGTTGGCGCGCCTGACCGCGACGCTCGACGACCTGCAGAGCATGGAGGTGAACGTGGAGCCCTCGTCCGTCGCCGTGGTCGCCGTCGAGCGCTACCTGCGCGATCTAAAGGTGCCGCAGGAGCACGGCGAGCACCAGCCTCCGCAGCCCAGCTTCGCCTACGACGTCACGGTGACGGACGGCGAGCGCCGGCTCAAGTGCTCGCTGGCGCTCCGGCTGATCCACCTGGTGCACACGAACCGGCTGAAGGCGGGCTGCGAGCTGCTCGTCCTCCGCTACGACGTCGGCACGGCCGAGCGCTTGGTGGTCGGCGTCCGTTTCCCCGTCATCGCCGACGCCGAGGTGACGGCGGAGCGCTCCCGCCTGCTGGTGGGCGCCGACGCCGAGGCCCTGCCCTGGGCCCGGGGGGCGTCGTGCGCGGACAAGCCCCTGGGAGCGGCGCGCGACTACTACCTGCCCCTGTGGAACAGCGAGGACTACCACGGGCAGCGGTGGGAGGAGGCGACGGCAGAGGACGTGCCGGTGCGGCCGGCGCGCCGTGCCACCGTCCGGAGCCTCGCGGAGGCCGCCGCGTCGGGCGCCAGGGGCCTCCCGCTCGTTGTGCGGCTGCTGCACAAGTCGCGGCTGCTGCACTTTGGCCGCGTGGACAGGCTGCGGCCGTGGCCCTACCGCGTCTACCTGGAGGTGTGCGACGGCACGGGCGTGGTGCCCGCCGTCCTGTGGAACGAGCTGTGCCCCGAGTGGTTCCGCTGCCTGCAGCCCGGCCAGGCGCTCGTTCTGGGCGACTACATGCTGAAGGACGCCTTCGCGTGCCGCACCTGGCCTGACGTCTACGACCTGGGCCTGCCCGTGTTCAAGAAGTTCGAGATCAACCTGAACTCGCGAAACCCGGCCGCCGACATCCGGGTCGTGCACCCGCGCCACGTGGACCCGGCCTGGCACCTGCCCGAGGGGCGCTACTGCTTCACCCGCCGCCGAGACCTCGGCTCGCTGCCGGCCGACCGCGCGTGCGACGTGGTCGGCCTGGTGTCGTTCGTGGGGCGCCAGGAGCGCATCCGCAAGAAGGAGAACCCGTGGCGTGCGCGCGACGACTTCTGGGTGTGCCGCTGGGTGCACGCGGTGGACGCCAGCAGCGAGGAGCCCTTCGTGCTGCAGCTCTTCGCCACGTCGCAGCCCGACGTGCACGACCTCCTGCGGCCCGCCACGCTCGTCGTGTGCACGCAGATGCGCGTCAGGCACGGCCTCGGCGGGCCCTACCTCACCACGTCCGTCGAGAGCCAGGTGTTCGTCTCGGGCCAGCACGCCGGCAAGCCGTACGCCGCCGAGCCCGCGGTGCTCGAGGTGGCGCAGTGGTGCTGCGGCATCGCGGACGACGATTTCTTGGCCCGCTCGGCGGTGGGCGGGTGCTACGTCTTCCCGCCGCTGCCCACGACGCTGGCGGAGTTCGCCGCGGGACGGCCGACGGCGCTCACCGTCACCCCGCTGGAGGAACTGCGCTCGGAGGTGGCCCGGCTGCACTACCGCGAGCAGAAGCGCCTGGTGGTTCAGGGCACCATCGCGGAGGTGCGCTACGTGGAGCTGAGCGAGGGGGCGGGTGGGCAGGAGAACGGCGTGCACGACGCGTCGCCCTCGGCGTCTTTCTGGGGCGTGGAGGCGGCGGAGGAGGCGGCGGCGGCGGCGGCGGTGCAGCCATCGCAAGCGGAGGATGAGACGGAGGACGAGGACGACGTCCCGCTGACCTCCGCGCAGGTGGTCGAGTGGCGCAGCTACAACCTGCGCTCGAGGAAAACGGAGCCGCGGGCGGCCGTCGCCAGTCACGGCGCCGCGAAGAAGAAGCCGAGGCTCGACAACGTCGTGGGAAACCATCGACAGCCCGGGCCGCCCGGCGCCCCGGTGAACGCGAACGAAGGGAGCGTCGCCAACTTGTTCGCGCCGTCGGCGGAGACTACGGCCGGTCCCGAGCGCGGGACGATGCTGGCCGCGTCGCGAGAGATCCTGCCGGCGCGGGGTCCCGCGGCGCGCGAGCCTAACTCCGCCAAGGCCCTGTGGGAGACCAACGATTGGTCCGGTTCTCAGCTCGTCCTCGCCGACCACCTGCGCCTGGGCGAGCTGCCGGCCGAGGCCGTGATGCGGCGCTACGACCACGAGCGGCGCGACGCTCAGCGCGAGCTCTGCAACCTGCAGCCGGCACGCCGCGCCAGCCTGCCCGCGGACGCCGCGCCCGACGCCGGAGCCTTCCGCCCGGCGTGCGATCTCGTCGGCTACTTCGTGATGACGCTGCTGGGGCTGGACCGCAAGGTGGCGCTGGACGTGCCGTTCGTGCCGGTGTGGGACCGCGGGGACCGCCGGGCCGCGTGCCCGTTGGCCGAGGAGCGTGCCGGGCTGCTGGAGATTCTGGCGCACGGCAGCGTGCCGCCCGGGGTTTCGCCGCTGCAGGTCACCGAATCGGCATCGCCTCTCGCCGGCCGGAGGATGCTGTTCGTGCTTGAGCAGTGCCGGCTTGGGGCCGATTGCGTGGAGGTGACGCTGAACCGGGCGTACCCGGCGCCGGACGGGTGACGCCGCCGTCTCGTCGGTCGTTGTGCCCTCGGTTGCCGAATTATATGGTCGTCTCGTCCGCACCCGCGTGCCGAGTTGATCGGAATCGTGCGGCCGATCGTGCCGGCTGGGACGCGCCGGGAATTTGCTGCCACATCTCCTCGGGGACGCCGGGTTTGTGACCCCCCCCCCACGAGGGTGTGGAGGGTGGACAGCACAGCAAGTAGGTTTCTGACCCGTCTCTTCAGCGGGGTTTTCATGTATTCCGATTTCTTGGAATAAAGGTTCAAAATGGATTTGGTCGGATACACGCCTGGATTTTTTTAGCATAGGGTTTGCGAGATTTTCTTAACAATTAAATTAATGGCGGCATCATTATTATCAGTATTCTACCATATTGCCTTGTAGCAGTTGGGCGTTGCATTACAACTCCTGAGTTAGGTTTAAATGTGCCGGGCGGCGCTTAACTTGTTTGACAGCAAGTAGTAAAGAAAATTCCACATTGTTATGGCAGGAACCATTTCCACACAGTTGTTCCTGTCTGGATATTTCACCTTAAAATTCCCGAGACTGGAAATCTAACCAATTCGCTTGCCGAGATTAATTCCCACTCCACGGCAAGACCCTAATTTACCACCTGTAAATTGGAGCATCATTTGCATTGCACCCATGCAGCGTCTAACCTCACAGCGCCTGTAACCAAGCCTGCGTGTGGGCTCGTACCACTCGTAAACGGAAGCCATCCGAACAACGGAAGGTTTTTGCGATTGTGCCCGTGCATTTTAACTTTTTTTTAACCTGACCGCAAGAAAATGTAACCTCACCCTCAAGTAAATTTCGACCGGTCGCACCCTCAAGATCGAATGAATCCTGTCCATGTGCCTTGCAGTTTTGCTCAACGCGGACATCGGCACGACGGTTTGCCAAAACCTCTGTGGGCATGAGGCCAAGTGGCGAGTATCGGTGGTTTTTATTTATCATTATTTTCGGTCGTGCTCCCGGAGATCTGCAAAACCCGAGTCTGCGGCGCGCTGGGCAGTAACTAGGCAGGAAGGTCGCCCTCTCCTTCAGGACATAAAACGACTTACCGTGCGTCGTGAAACGTGACCGACAAATCACACGAGATGTTAGCGGTTGGTTTTTATTTTTATTATTTGCGTTGCTAGTGTCCTTCGCTGGTATAGCGGCCTAATTAATTTAACATCCTTTTCAAGCGCGGGCGGTGGGGGGGGGAGACAGCCATTCACAGCGGTTATACTCGGCCACGAATGTCAAATATTATAACGTACCGCGTGTGCCTGTGTTAAGGTTTTTTGGTTTCGCGAACGATGTATTGCCGTTCTCCCCTGACGGATTCGGAAGCATTTACAATTGCTCATGTGACCTGAACGTTTGCGAAGTTTTGCAGGTTTCGTGAGCGGATTCGTGGCTATGGCGGGTCGGTTTATTTATTTCGACTGGAATTTAAACAGCGCATTACTTGCCAAAACAAAAATGTGTTTATGAATGGCATTCACAAGTTGTGCGAGCCAGACACGATCAAGCTCCGAGTCTCCACATTGGATGTATCGATAAAATGTGATATTTATTCGAATGTTATTAAGTTTTTAAATTTGAAAAACATACATACCTGTCAACCTCTTATCAGTACCTACCTTATTACAGACCAATTCAGACCTTATTGGTCACCCCGTGCCCCTTAAAAATCTCAACGTTCATCCTACAAAGCCCGTATTGAAATGGCTGTACGCTGTATGGACCTGAAAACTCTATTTCCCTATACAAGAATACGGGGTAAACCTTTTGGTTCTAGATGTGAAGCTTTCGTGACTGCAAGGATTCATATTCTTAGGTTTTTTCGGTAAAGTCACGTAGGTAAAAATTTAAAATAAAAAACCGTCACAGCACGATAGCTGTATCACTTGATACAGCTATCGTGCTGTGACGGTTCCACCTGAAGACGGAAGCTTGTGTTGCCTCCGAAACGTCGTGATTTTTATTTTATTTTACTTTTATTAATTTGAATTTTTTACCTACGTGACTTTACCGAAAAAACCTAAGAATATATAAACCTTTTGGGTTGACGAGTATGAACATGTTAAATAGAAAGATATCCGTCTTCTACATTGACAATCATAAAAAATATGTATTTAGACACGTGGCAAATAAGATGTAGGAGAGCGATATTGTTTTTTTTTTAATCGGCAATTCTCTGAGTTTGGGAAACTTCGTCAACATTTATGCCCTGCCCCGACGTGTCTCTCGATCCGGCAGCAGAATGTCAAGTGACATGTACCGGCACCAAGGCCACGTGCTTCATTTGCGTCGCCCGTCCAAACAACAACAACTTTCGATTTAAAGCTTTCGTGCCTGCAGGGATTCATCTTCTTGGTTCTTTCGTTAAAGTCACGTAGAAGAGAAATAATAAAATAATAAAAATAAAACATAATAAAATAATTCTCATGACGTTTCGGCCACAACGCAAGCAGCCGTCCTCAGGTGAAGAACAGGTCTGTCGGAAAGACAGCGTCTGAATGAAGGAATTCAATCGTTTTGTCTGTTTTTAACATATATAAAACAACATTAATATATATTCGTAAATAGTTATTTCGCGATCTGGATAGAGAGCGGTGTGTGTGGTCAAACAAAACCGCTCAGCTCAACAAAGCTAACAATTTCTCCATGGGGAGCACAGTCAGTCAGTGTTAGTCGCTCGTCGGCTAGGGAGGGGGGGGGGGGTCCTCGGGACTTTGTTCTGAGTTGGCAAAGTTTCGAGTTCGCCGAGTGGCCGAGGCGAGCCTTGCCGTGGGGACGGGCACCGTGCAATCGTGGCCGAGGCGTCGGGCAAGACAACCATCGCCTCCGAAGAGGGGGGAGAGAGCGAGAGGGAGAGAGAGAGAGGGAGGAGAGCAGAGCGTGAAATCTTTTGTGAAATCTTTCATTTAAAAAGTGTGGGAGGCATAAAGCAAAGCATTGAAAAAAAAAACAAAAAAAACTAAATGATGAACGAAGCAAAGTGCCGATTACACCGAGTATCTTCTTGTTTCCTCTGAACGTAAAACAAAGTGGGAGAGAGAGGGGGAGAGAGGGAGAGGATTTTGACGTTTTATTACCGTCGAAATCCTCACGCCAACTTTGACCGCCGCGTGGGAAATAACGCCACGGGTCACCGGCCAAGTCACCAACAGCTCGGCGGTCATCGTATTACCACCACCACCAGCAGCACCAGCACCACCACCAGCACCACCACCAGCAGCACCAGCACCAACACCAGCACCACCACCAGCACCACCAGCAGCACCACCACCAGCACCACCATCAGCAGCACCACCAGCAGCACCACCATCAACACCACTTACAAACACCAGCACCACCACCAGCACCACCATCAGCACCTCCGAGGGCACCTCCGAGGGCAGCTCAATGGGGAACGAGAACGGCTCCGCGGTGGACGACCTCCACTCGGTGGAGATCCACTTGTGGTACAAGAAGTTCATGCGAGAGTGCCCCTCGGGCCAGCTGACGCTGCACGAGTTCAAGCAGTTCTTCGGCATCAGCAGCGTCACGGCGGAGGGCAACGCCTACATCGAGCAGATGTTCAGGACCTTCGACATGAACAAGGTGGGAGGGGGGGGCGAGAGGGGGGTGGAGGGGGAGATGGGGGGATGGGGATGATGGAGGGGGGAGGGGGAAAAGTGGAGGGGGCGTGAAGGGGTGGGGGGTGGAGGAGGGGAGATGGGGGGTGGAGAGGGAGTAGAGGGGTTGATGGGGGGAGGCGAGTGGGGGGTGGAGGGGGAGTGGTGGAGGGGAGATGGGGGGGATGGGGGTGGTGGTGGAGGGGGCGATGGAGGGGAGATGGGGGGTGGAGGGGGGGGAGGGGGTGGAGGGGGGCTGGTGGGGGAGTAGGTGGAGGGGGAAATGGGGATGATGGAGGGGGAGAAGTGGAGGGGGCGATGGGGGTGAAGGGGTGGGGGGTGGGGGATGAGGTGGAGGGGAGGGGGGGCGCTACGGGGTGGTTCTCGCCATTCGCAATGCGGTGACCGGTCACGTGACGATCGTGGGGGGCAGCCAAGTGGGGGGGGGGGGGAGCTGCCTTGCCCCCCCACCCCGCCCCTCCCCCGGTGGCCAAAGCTACGAGTTGGGAGGGGAGGAGGGGGGGCCTTGACAACCAACATCAGATATCATTAATCAGAATATTTATTTAAACTGCGGGAGGAATCCGATGAGCTACAAAGCTCTTTTATGCACAGATGTCCAGTAAGGGGCACGGGCTAAGAACGTTACAACAACAACAATGACAAAACAAGTATAACCGTAAAAACAACGTTTTTCACTATAAATCCTTTATATGCGTGGCGGCTAGAGTCCTCTCATCCTCTGGCTTGAGATGGCTGCCACCTATGGGTCAGATGATTGTCTGCAGTATTAAGCAATTGGTAATTAAATATAATATTTTTGTCCTAAAAAGTATAAAATTTTGGAATTTTTTTCACGACCATTAATTGTCACGCACAACGAGTCTGTGTGGAAAATGTCAGCTCGATTGGATCACGGAAAGTGGGTTAAAAAACGACCGAAAGATTTGCACGGTCCTAAGCAAGCAAGTGAACTTAATATAAAGGATTTTAAAAAACACGATAGGTGTACAAAGTACAAGACGGATAAACAAATCACCCAGACACAGACACAAATACTACATATTCTTAGCTTTTTTCGGTAAAGTCACGTAGGTAAAAAATTTCAATTTAATAAAAGTAAAATAAAAATAAAATAAAAATCACGACGTTTGGGAGGCAACACAAGCTTCCGTCTTCAGGTGGAACCGTCACAGCACGATAGCTGTATCACTTTTATTAATTTAAAATTTTTACCTACGTGACTTTACCGAAAAAACCTAAGAATATGAATCCTTGCAGTCACGAAAGCTTCAAATCTACAAATACAACACTCAACCATGCCCCATCCTACCAGGCAAAGCCCCACTGAGGCTGTGAACTTGTTTTTTAGAAGCGACCTGGCGACCACAAATGATAGCCGCTCAACAAAGTGGCCCCGTCATTCGGACACTTTATAGCAGCAAAATCATCTACAGCGTAAAAAGAACAACTTTCTTAGAACGCCGTTTAAATAAAGTAAAAAAAAATATTAAAATTTTTAAATTATTTCATTGACCTTAATTTGAAGCTTTCGTGACTGCAGGAATCCATACTCTTTGGTTCTTTCGGTAAAGTCACGTAGGTATAAAAATAAAATAAATCACGACGTCACTCAGGAAATGAGCCTTGACCTCGGAGGA